ATGGAAAAATGGGAAAGATTTCATTAACTTGGAAGAAAACATTCTACATCTACTGGGCTCATCTCAATCCCAAGTTGGGATCACTATTTATAGAGCCCAAGATTACAACAGAACTAAAACATCTCAAGAGGGCCTATATTAAGCAATACAGCCCAGTCAGAAATTAGCCTATGTACACTGATCAATAAATAAAAAAACTGTTTTAATTATAAGGAAAATATTTTCTAACTTCCACACTCCCCCTCAAGTTTGGGACGAAACATATCCACAATCCCTAGCTTGATGAGTAGTTTCCTCTGGACTTCCCCTATGACAGCTTTAGTTAGCATATCTGCTTGTTGCTCACCAGAACACACATGTATTAAATTGATTTGCCTTGATTCCCATTTTTCCCTTATGAAGTGGTAGTCTACCTCAATATGTTTGGTCCTCTCACGATATACTGGATTCGTAGCGATGTGAATAGCTGCTTGGCTATCACAAAAAATGTTGACTGGTCTATTGTGGAAGATGGCTAGATCACGTAAGAGTCCCAAAGCCCAAACAATTTCTAAAGTAGCCATACTTAATGCCCGATATTCAGCTTCTGCAGATGACTTTAAAACAGTGCTTTGTTTCTTTGTTTTCCACATCATCAGAGATTCTCCAAATTTTAGCAAGTATCCTGTGACAAATCTCCTTGATATTCCACATGAGGCCCAATCTGAATCACAGTAACATTGGAGTTCTGGTTTTCCCTCAAAACTAATCAAGATTCATAGACCAGGGGCACCTTTCAAGTATCTCACTACTCCCATTGTAGTTGCCATATACGCCTTTGTAGGAGATTGCATGAATTGACTGAGAGTCCGCATAGAAAAGGAGATGTTAGGACGAGTCATGGTTAAATAGATTAGCTTACCTATTAACTTCCTGTATCTTTCAGGTCTGCTCAACAATTCATCCTTGCTAGTCTTTCCTTCAATATATGGCATCAACTTCAAATTCTGTGGCATTGGGATTGCAAGAGGCTTGCATCCACTCATCCCAATTTCAGCCAACATGTCAAGCACATACTTCCATTGTGACAGCACTAAACCTGTTTTAGATTTTGCCACTTCTATATCAAGAAAATATTTCATTAAACCAAGATCCTTGATTGTAAAATTACTGTGTAAGAGTGTTTTCGCAAGCTGAATCCCTTTTTTAGAACTATTAGTAATCAAAAGATCATCGACATCTACCAAGATCAATACAATACCATCATAGCAATTTCCAATGAACAAAGGATAATTATTTTTACTTTGTTTAAATCCTCCTCTTATTAAGGCTCTAGACAATTTTTTATTCCATTGTCTTGAAGCCTGTTTCAAACCATAGAGGGACTTTTTCAGTTTGTAAACCATATGCTTCCCCTTATTTTCAAAACCTTGAGGGACTTTCATAAAGACTTCTTCATTCAAATCTCCCTGTAAAAAGGCATTATGGACATCCAATTGGCGGAGATTCCACCTATTCATTGCTGCCAGTTTAAGGACTAACCAAACTGTAACATTTTAACAATTGGTGAGAAGGTCTCATGATAATCTATCCCTTCTCTTTGACTATAACCTTTTGCTACCAACCTAGCCTTATATTTATCAATACTTCCATTAGAGTTGTACTTAATTTTGTAGACCCATTTACATCCTATAGGTCTCTTTCCTTTAGGCAAAGGTACAATATCCTAGGTTTTATTATTTTCTAGTGCAGTTATTTTAGATTTCATTGCATTGACCCATTTCTCATCTAAAGCAACCTCCTCATGACTACTTGGTTCAATTTCAGAATCAATAGAGGAAAGAAAACATAAATAATCAGAAGAAATATGGTCATATGATGAGATGTAATTCTGGATAGGATACTAACATTTATCTTGATGTTTTGCCTTATCTAGAGAGGCAACAATAGAAAAGACATAGTCCTTTGACCATATAGGTGGTCTTCTATTCTGAACAGGTCTGGGTTGATTTGCAGCAATATTTTGATCAGAATCACCTTCAAAATCATCATTGTATTCCGTAATATTCACTGTCTCCCCAAAATTATTTTGTTCAATGTCATTATTATCATTATTATTAGGTGTGGCAGATTGATCCTGATTATTTTCAATTAATATGCTCTCTGGTTCATACCAAAACATTTCTCTTAAGGTTTGATTCACTCCCTCTTGCTCTTTACTTATAGCATCTTTAAAAGGAAATTTCTCTTCAACAAAACTAATATGTCTACTAAAAAATATTTTTACTATGAAGACTCAGGGGAAGAAATCCCTTTTGATTCTCAGGATATCCTAGAAATATGCAAGGGATGGCTCTAGATTGAAATTTGTCTAAGATATTAAGGTTGGTGACATAAGCTAAACAACCAAAAACCTTCAAATGATTCAGGTCAGGTTTTCTTCGATAAACTTTCTCATAAGGGGTCTTATAACCTAATATCTTAGAGGGAATTATATTAATCAGATATATAGGCATCTTTACACATTCCCCCAATAATGCACAGGTATATTGGATTATAACATGAGGCTTCTAGTTAACTATATTATGGTCCTATGTTTTCTTTCAACTACCCCGTTTTGCTCAGGAGTATAAGGGCAGGAAGTTTGATGAACTATTCCAAGTTGCTGAAAATAAGATTTTAGTTCATTATTCTTAAATTCAGTCCTATTATCACTTCTAATTCTTTTAACTTGGATCTCAAATTGAGTTAGGACATAAGCAATAAAGTTCTTAATATGTAAGGTAGAATCAGATTCATTCCTCATTAAGAAAATCCAAGTTCCCCTTGAATAATCATCCACAATGGTAAGAAAATATTGATATCCATGATGGGTTGGTGTCCTATATAGACCCCAAACATCAATATGTAAAAGTTCAAAACAATTTTTGGTTTTTATGTAGCTACAAGTAAAAGGAAATTTTGTCTGTTTAGATTGTATATAAACATCACAACCTTTATTAAAAAATATGTCAGAGCTTATTAACAAGTCCAGGTGATGCATTACAGAAAGAGGAGCATGACCCAGCCTTTTATGCCACAAAGATATGTCATTACAATCTTGAATACCATAACTATTTTGAACAACATTCACAGAATGAAAATTCCTTGCAATTTTCATCACATATAGGCCACAGCATTCTCTACCAATCAACTTCATCTTCCCATCCCAGAGGCCCTGCATTAGACGTAGGTTAGGGAAGAATGAAGCCATACAATTATGTTCCTTTGTAAGTCTTGATATCGAAATGAGACTGAATTTAAGTTTAGGGGCACACAAAACATTATCCAGAACAATTTCATCAGAAATTTTTGCCTTTCCTATATCAATTACAGAAACACAATTACCATCAGGTATTTTAATAGATTTAACTGGTCCATTATAAATTTGGTATTCCTCTAACAAATTTAAACTACCTATCATATGAGTAGTGACCCTAGAGCCTAAAATCCAAGTGGAGTGAAAATAATTGTGAATGTTAGGAATAGTCAAACCTGTACCCGTAAGGGCGTGAACCTTAGTCTCTGAGTCCTTTTGAAGCAATTCGAGTACTTCTGGTATTGTTCGTGTGTAAAGCTTGGTGCCACAGTGATTGCCTCATTTGTGTGTGCTTCTAGATCATATGCCAAACCCGAAGGAGACCCTTGACTAGTCTCCTTGTTCTGTTTACCTTTATTGGTGTTGGCTTTGAAATTTGCCGGATACCCAATGATTTCGTAGCAACTTTCTTTTGTATGTCCTTTCTTGTGGCATTGGGAACATTCCAAATTATCATTCCGTTCCCGTCCTCTGCCACGGCCATGCCCTCTAGCCACCATAGCAATGCCTTCCGCTAGAGAATTCTTCTCTCCATACCCAATCAGTTTCTGAGTCTCATCTTGCACTATCATAGAATAGGCCTCGTTGACATATGGTAAAGGATTCATCAATGATATTTGACTTCGAGCCTCATATGACTCATTCAATCTGAGTAGAAACTGGAGTAATTTTTGTTCTTGAATCAACTCTGCATATTTCTTGGATGTTGCATAGGTACAGGACGACAGTGTGACTAAAGCTGACTATTCCTCCCAGAGCTCTTTAACCTTTGAATAGTATGCAGAGACAAACATGGATCCTTGCCTTAAGGAAGTGATTTCACAGTGTAAGGCAAAAATGCAAGCCCCTTTCTTTTTGTCAAAATCCTCCTTCAGGTCAATCCATATGTGGTGTGCGTTCTGAAAGAATATCACGCCATTTGCCAATTCTGTCGAGATCGATCCCAGAATCCAAGAAATCACGATGACATTACAACGCTCCCATTAGTCGTGCAGCGGTGGATCTTGATCGCTCTTTTTGCAGGTTCCATCCACTAATCCCAACTTGTTTTTTTTCCTATCAACGCAATCTTCATTGCTCTGCTCCACACCATATAGTTCTTGGTGCCTGTGAGGACGTGATGAATGATTGAGCCGCCCTGTGTGTTGGACGGATGCAGAAACAAAGGATGCGAAAATGGGAGGTTTTCTTGAATTGATTTATCTTCTGCCATTATGGTTTTATTGGTGCAAAGGGTAGAGCTTGGTTCTAGGGCTTACCGATGGGAATAAGGAAAACCTTCGACTCTGGATACCATGTGAGAACCGTTAACACTCCTAACACACTAAACGCATCACATGGAAAAATGGGAGAGATTTCATTAACTTGGAAGAAAACATTCTACATCTACTGGGCTCATCTCAATCCTGAGTTAGGACCACTATTTATAGAGCCCAAGATTACAACAGAACTAAAAATATGGCCCAGTCAGAAATAAGCCTATGTACACTGATAAATAAATATAAAAACTTTTTTAATTTCAAGGAAAATATTTTCTAACTTTCACACACTCCACCACCACTTTCAACGTAATTCCCAAAACTATGGTCAAACCTTTTCTCTCTGGTTTGGCTCTCGTTTGGTGGCGGTCATTTCGTCGCCCTCTGCAATTCAAGAGTGCTTCATGAGAAATGACATTGCTTTGGCCAACGGCCCCCTGTTCCTGACCGGAAAGCACGTCGACTACAACTACACCACCATCTCCTCCGCCCCGTACGGCGAACACTGGTGCAAACTCCGTCGCATCTTGGCGCTTGACGTCCTCTCAACGCGTCATCTCAACTACTTCATGGAAATGCAAAGGGACGAGATGAAGCTACTGGTGCAAAAGCTTACTCATGATTCTCATAAGGGTTTCAAGAAGGTGGAGCTAAGATCTAGGTTCTTTGAGCTGACGTTTAACATGATGATGAGAATGATATCTGGGAAGAGATACTGGGGAGATGATAGTGAAGTTGGGGACTTGGAAGAAGCAAGGAAGTTTAGAGAGACGACGAAGGAGTTGTTGATGCTAGGAGGGGCAAATAATCTTGGAGATTTCTCGCCGACACCTAGATGGTTTGATTTGGACAACTTAGAGAAGAAGCTCAAGAGTATTAGCCTCAGATTCCATAGATTTTTGTAGGGAATAGTTGATGAGCACAGAGGTGGGAATACAAGTGGAAATATTATGATAAATCACCTCTTGACTCTGCAGAAATCAGAACCAGAGTATTATACAGATCAAATAATCAAAGGTCTTGTTTTGGTAAAGAGCTAATATGTTTTTGGCTTTTTGCTTTTTGGTTGCATTTTCATGTCTATTATTCATTTTGCTTTTCAACTGGTTCCAGACTTTGGCAAATTACATGTCCTAGCGGTTGTTTCAAGAATAAAAGAATATATAATGATTGTGTAAAACCAAAGAAAAATGAGAAGTGCTTTTAAATGACATGTTTTGCTCTTTTGCAATATTGTTGAAAATTTTTGTTCCCATTTAAAATATATTTGTGGGAAAATTAATCTAAAAATTCCTATGTATAGTTCCATATGATTTTTAATTTGGTCTTGTAATTTTTTTCTTTTATTAGATTCTTATGGTATCAATTGACTTTTTTCATAATTAAGACCTTATAGTTTCCTCCCTTTATATTGTCACATGAGACTACAAAAATCTAATTAAAAATCATGTGAAACTATAAGGACTTACATATTAATTTTCCTTATATTTATTGCTTACATATTAATTTTCCTTATATTTATTGATGTAATACATATATTACCAAAAGTAGTTAAATAATGAGTAATTCTTTTTATTAAATCAAGTGTTCTTCCTCAAAAATGTCACAAAAATTGACATGGTTTGACATCATATATAGGTCATGCTTCGTGGGGGAACTGACACATCTACTGTAACTTTAGAGTGGGCAATGTCTAGTTTATTGAATCATCCAGAGATATTAAGAAAGGCAAGGCAAGAAATAGAATCACAAATAGGGGAAGAACACTTGATAGATGAACAAGACGCTTTGAAACTGCCATATCTTCAAAGCATTGTATGTGAGACATTTCGATTGCATCCTGCAGGCCCATTATTGTCGCCCCACCTATCCTCAAATAAGGGCACCATGGGAGATTATAACATCCCACCTGATACTAGTACTAGGTCCATTTGGGTTAGTGGTAAAAAAGTAATTTATTTACAATATGAATTTTGGGTAAAAGTTAGATTGGATAATGTAATTTATATTTGGATTGACTTTTATAAATAAGTTAGTTTGTTAAAGTAAGTTGTTGGATTATGATTAACTAAGTAATTTTAGTTTGTAAAATTACCAAAATGAGTGTGACTTTTATTAAATAATAAAAAATTATAAATTATAAATTTACATAATATAATAATTTTAAAATATTTATAGGCTCATCTTGATCTCATATATTTTTTATTATTTATTATAAGGGCATATTTGAAAATAAAATTATATTTCTAACTTATTTATTACTTTCAATTAATTTTAACTGATTTTTCATTATCTACAAATTAGTTATTTGTAGCTTATAATAAGAATCAGAGGAGATAGTAAATTTATTAACCTTTTCTCTCTTTGTGTTTTAAAAGTTATATGTCATAAGCCATAAGTCATAAGCAGTTCTACTTATAGCTTATTATAACTTTTCATGTAAAAGTCAGATTATCTTACCGCTGATCCAAACGCTGCAAAATTTTCAAACATGCTTCTTGTTAAAGTAAAAGCAACTTATAGTGCGCGAATCGCTGAGCCACACAGGCTCACTATTGTGTTAATTATATTAGTGCTTAGGCCATTCATAGAGATCCTCAATTATGGGGTGATCCTTTGCGTTTCAAGCCTGAAAGGTTTCAAAAAGAGGGGGAAACAAATAAGTTAATGCATTTTGGATTAGGAAGACGAGCTTGTCAAGGTTCAGGCTTGGCACAATGCACAGTGAGCTGGGCTTTAGGGTTACTGATTCAATGCTTTGAGTGGAAACCAGTAAGTGAGGAAGAAATTGATATGACAGAAGGAGAAGGATTGAGTTTGTCAAAAGTTGTTCCTTTAGAAGTTATGTGTAAAGCACGCCCAGAGATCATTGATAAGTCTTTTCTTGAAAGTACTGTTGAAAAGAGCTAGATGAGGGAGTGATATATTGGTGAGTATTGGCCTTGTTCTGAATAATTTTGAATGCATAACGATTAGAAGGTGGGATTTATATTTGTAGTTGGAACATTTGCAGAATTATGTTGCTATTTGTCAGAACGGTTGGCTCAACTGACAGCAAACATTTTCTTAAGTCTTGACTTAAATAAAAAGTTGCAAGTTTAGCTCTTCGTAGGAATGATGAGCGCATGAGTTTTTTTTCCTTTTTTTTTTTTTTTTATACAAGCATGAGTTTTTTTCCTCCTGGATAAAGGATGACAAAATAAAAAAATTAAAGTTAACATTAATGTTGACATTAATAATATATCTTGACCAACATAATTTCAATATATGATAGTGTTACTCAAGACAAATTATGAAGATAAGAAGGGTTAATGTGCAATTCAACAAATTGTTAAATAGGGCAACTGTAAGAAAGGAATTTTTTTTTCTTTTTTAAAATTCAATTTAAGACCTGATGTATTTTTTCATTCAAATATCTTATTATCTTAACTTATGTTCATCTTATCTACTGCTTGGTTGACTATATATAAAAAGTACTTTTTTTTTTGGGGTAAGGTTTAATTGGCTGTGTTAATCCAATTTGATGGGCACCCGCTTGTCTGAAATCTCTTGCGATAGTTATAATTATTTTTACGTGAGTTAAATTTTTTTATTTATTTATCTTTCACTGCGTAAAAGTATTTGAACTTATCAAGTAGATAAACAAAACAGTTGTATTCACAATGACAAAAGATGTTTTTAGGGGCCGAAACACAGTCTTTTGTTGTTATTTTGCATTGTTTTTTTTTTTTTTGCTAAAACATAGGTACTCTCTTATTAGAGGTAATCCTATTCAAGGTATTATTAGATACTAAATATGGACATTTCTCTCAAAATATTCAAACTTTGATTTGCCACGCTATGAGGGATTAGTTTCTTCTACTAGATCCAATTCTTTGTTGGTTACATTTTCTTTTTTAAGCAACATAAATTAGACCGGACCTGACGTGGAGGCCCAACTCAGTCACAGTCATAGAGTGGGAAAAACAGGCGCAGCTTCTCCCTGCGGCAAGGAATGGTGCTCAGCCTTGAAAAAAAAAAACCTAGCATTCAACCTCTTAAAACATTTTCCAAGTAAGAAGTATTTTTTTTAATAGCACTCAAAATCTTAAATAATTTTTAATACATCTAGTATCTTAAAATATTTTTCTAGTAGCAAGTAGTATTCTAAAATGTTTTTTGATTAAGTAGAATTTATTATCCTAAGGTTCACTATCACCTAGTATTCTAAAATAAATTTGTGTTTAACACGTAAAAATAGTTTTTTAGTAGCAGTATCATAAAATAATTTTTAGTATATCTAACACTTTAAAATATATTATTATCAAGAGTACTCAGTATCATAAGTTTAAGCTGATTATTACTACTAAAAAAATACTTCCAAGGTACAAAATTTTATCAAAAATTATTTTAGGATATTGAGTGGTTTAAAAAAAAGGTTCAAAAATGATGAATTGTTACTGAAAAAAAAATACTTTATGGGATTGAATGCCAATTAAGGGGGAAAAAAACTGAGCACCTCGCCTTTGGTACCTGAAGTTATAGAGGGGACACCCTCACCCAGCCCCAAAAACCCCAATATTTTATTTAAACAAAATATTACTACCTTCAGTCCTAAATGATGCGTATTCAACTCTACACATGCTACCAGGTCCAAAATAACAAAAACACGCTACACATACTACGCAATCTTTTATTACTGAACTCTAACGTTTTTAGCATATAGATATTATGACATTTTAAAATTTGAGTACCAAGAAAACTTGAAGAAAGTACTAAAACAACTAAAAATGAGAATTGAAATGATAAAAGTTAATGAGTACTAAAAACGTAATAATTGAAGATGGGTGCTGAAAAATCAAAGAGGATGGTCATTTTCGTCAATTAAAAAAATAAATTCTAAATAAGGACCTTAGTCTTTAATGAAAAATATAAAATTTATGATCTTTATATCATTATATATACAAAAACTTGAATATGAATTCCAGTTCGAATCAAACTCGAAAGGCTTATACTTTTGATCGTTTTTAAGATTTCACCTTCTCCCATGTATTACTGCATGCAGGGGTTTCAATCAAGTTAGTTTCATTTCCTAATGGTATAACCACTCACAAAATTTATTCTAATATCAGAACATAGAATTTGCTTTTGTTAATTTGGATTGAGAAATATTTTTTTTTCCAGTAGCACTTAGATTCTAAACTAATTTGTGGTTTATCTAGTACTTTGAAATATTTTTCTAATGACACTAAGCATCCTATAACATTTTTCAGTAATTTCTGATAGATTCAGCACTCTAAGGTATTTTTGTAGTAGTATTCAATATCTTAAATTTAAGGCATTCATTGCTGCTAAAAAAATATTTTAAGGGAAAAATTGTATAAAAATATTTTAGTTACTTTTACTAAAAGAAAATATTTTAGAATGTTAGATTAACCACATATTTGTTTAGTACATCTTAACCTTGGCATGATACTTTTGACTTGTAGGTTATGCTTCTTGCTGAAACTGAAATTATGAGCTTCTGTGACTCTAGAATGGGCAACGAAAAATCTTGTTTATTAAACAATGTCTTGTAATCTGACAAGTTTTATGCGTCAATATATTACCAATTTTTTGATGGAATTTAGTCACTTTAATTAATTGTTGATTGTACGATATGTAATATCCACATGGAGCAACTAGCTCGGCTATGTGAACTTGATGGCGTTTTTTGAAAAGCAAAAGTTATAACGAATTCTTTGGGATTTAGTCTTCAAATTTATACTCATTTTAGTTTTAGTCCCTCAAAAAATAAAATAATCTAGATTTTTATTAAATTACAAAGATTAATATTTTGGATAAAATAAAATTTTAAAAATAAAAATTATGGTTTGAAATTTGTGGGCCAAAATTAATGAGTATAAATTTAAAGAATCAAAATTATATTAATTTTTTTTTAAAATAAAAAATATCATTAGGTATACTTTTTGTACTGAGAATCAAAACAATTTCGATGCAGTTTTGAGGAAATTGATAGACTCAGTGATGGTTAAAGAAGTGACTGGGCAGACCTCGCGGGAGTCTGCTCGGTCTGATCATAGGCCAGCGACAGACCCACATGCATTGGAACGTTGTGCGGACCAAGGTGACGCATCACTATTGGGAGGCGGCTTCTCTCCTTTTCCCTTATCATCCGCTGCCCTCCTCTACGTGTTTGGTACGAGGGATTTAAGAGAGAGGAGAGGGAAGGAGAGGAATTTTAATTATTTCCCTTTGTTTGGCAACACACAAATTTTAGGAGGGGAAGGAAAATTTTAAAATTTTTTTCCTTCCCTCCCTTTCAAAATTGGGAGGATTTGGAGGGAAAGAGTAATATTTTCCCATGTTATGATCATTATGCCCATATTTTGTCATGTTGCAACCATTATATCTATATTTTTTTATATTATGACCATTATGCCCATGTCTTAAATAAAATAAGAGCAAAATTGTCCATATTAAAATATTTTTCTCTCCCCTCCCCTCTTTTTTTATAAATCCAAATAAGATAATATTAAAATCCTTCCACTCTCCTTCCCTCCCCTTCCCTCCATTAAAATCTCTCCTCTCCCCTTCCTCTCATTGAGCCAAACATACCCTAAAAACTGCGGGGTTTTGAGTGAAAGCAAGGGAGGGAGAGGCCTTTTTTTTAATTTAAAAAATATATCTATTATCTTAAAATATTTTTTTAATAGCACCCAATATTTAATATCCAGCATTTTAAGATATTTCTTAATAGCACTTAGTATTGCAAAATAATTTTTGGTCCACTTAGCAGGCTAAAATATTTTTTTCAGTAACGCCAATACAACATCCAACATGGTGCGGTGTTTTGCTAGTAGTACCAAGTATATAGAACTAGATTTTAGTGACCATAAAATATTATATGAAAAATTACTTCAAGATATACCAAAAATTAATTTATGATATTGGATGTTATTAGAAAAATACTTTAATATGGATGTCAGATACTGGATATTAAATTTTTACGACATTGAGAGTTAGATGTTGAGTACTACTAGAAAAACATTAGAGTGATAAATGTATTAAAAATTAATTTGGGATACTTAAAGATACTGAAAAAATATTTTAGAGTACTAAATATATATATTATAGAAAAGCACTCACTCTCTCTTGTTTTTCACTCAAAACGCTGCAACTTTGAGGGTAGAGGAAGGCGGCGGATGGTAAGGGAAAAGGAGAGAAGCCATTACTTGTCCGCTGCTGCTTCTTGTTTTGAGACCCACCAAGGTCATGACATATTTTATGCTCAAAAAAAAATATTTACAGAAATATTTATAAATCACTCACTAATAAGGTGATTCTCGCATAATAAAATTTAAATTTATGATTTTATGAGTCATGAGTCGACTTCTTATTAATTAGATTAGTTCTTATTGGCTACTCATATATTTCTTAGTTTATAAGCTAACAACTGTTTGAATAGTTTGTATAGGAGTGTGTTTGAATTATTATTTTAAAAGAATAGTATATGAGAAGAGTTTTATTTTAACTTAAGTAAAAGTAAGAAGAAGAAAGCCAAATAAATTATTTAGATCTCACAAAATTGATATAATCTTCTTTGAATATAATCAATTTAAAGTCGTAGGAACTGAATTGATTCTTAACTAGCAAAGCCAAAACGCCAAGAAACAAATTAAGTGATTAATTTTTCCCATAAATTTTATTTAATATAAAACTTAAAAATTTTATATAATCAGTTAGATCAATAAGAGTACGTGCATGACCCTCGTCTTCATCATGAGCCGATGCGTCACTGTTGAGAAAAGTTTGCAAACCAGTACATTGTCATTGTTGAGTTACATCAACTGTGCACTACTTTCAGCCAAATCCACTGGCAAAATCTACGATCAATTACCCAACGATAACGAAAACGACATAACTAGAACAAATAGAGAACTTTTGCTTACTCCCAAGCACCAATCACCACGTCGTCCAGCCATGACAAAAGCTGATGAAGAATTAACATTATACTACTTCCGGTTCTAATTATAAGATCTAATTTATAAATTATAAATAAAGTCTTATAATTAGAATCGTACGTAGTATTTGATCGACAACCATCAACAAGGGTGAAGGATTAACATGAACTCTCTCAACTTATATAAAATTAATAATATTTTAATATCTTACTAATTTTTTATGATTTTTTAAGAGGTGCATTATAAAGAGTATTAGAGAGTAGGGCATTATAAGCCCTTTGCCCCACATCTACAATATACCACTGCTAAAAATATTTACATGACACTTTATTTTATCTTTATTTAATGATTATTAATCAATATTCAGATCTTATTCAGATTAATTATGTAAAAAGAAATTAAAAAAAAAAGACCCAATGATATATTTGTCAACGGTTCTTACGATTCGTTAATCAAGGTCATCAGCTATACATATACAACACCAAAACACGTCTCCATGACTCAAATCCATTCGGATCACTAAAGTACTCCACAAAAGAGAAGTACCAAACAATGATGATCACCTACTTGTTCTATTATTTCCTTCCTTCTCTTGCTTTCTTCTTCACTCTCAACCTCCTCCTTCAAAATAAGAAGTTAAAAAAACATCCCACCTGGTCCACCTTCTCTTCCCATTATCGGCAACCTCCACCAACTAAAAAAGCCACTTCATCATGCCTTTCACCGGATTTCTCAACGTTATGGCCAAATCTTTTCTGTTTGGTTTGGCTCTCGTCTCATGACCGTTGTGTCGTCCCCTTCTGCAGTCCAAGAATGCTTCACCAAAAACGACATCGTCCTGGCAAACCGGCCCCGCGTTCTCCTCGGTGAACATATTGGCTACAACTCCACCACCTTAGTGTTCACTCCCCACGGCGACCACTGGCGCAACCTCCGCCGTATCACGGGGGAAGAGGTGCTCTCGAGCCACCGTCTCAACAAATTCTTGGAAATGCGAAGAGACGAGGTGAAGCGCCTGGTGAAAAACTTGTTCAAGACTCAAACAATATGATGAGAATGCTTTCTGGAAAAAGGTACTGGGGAGACGACAATGAGGTTGGGGATGGGGAAGAAGCAAGAAAGATTCGAGAGATTATAAAACAACTGGTGTCTCTGGGAGGGGTAAATAACATTGCAGATTTCTTGCCCATACTTATGTGGTTTGATTTTGGTCACTTGGAGAAGAGGCTCAAGAGTTTTGCCAAGAGAGCCGATGGATTCTTGCAAGGTGTCATTGATGAGCATCGAAATGCAAAGCAGAGAGCAAATACTATGATCGATCATCTTTTGAGTCTCCAAGAATCACAGCCTGAGTACTATACGGATCCGATCATTAAAGGACTAATTTTGGTAAGTGAAATAATAAATAATGTTATGTTTTTACCTTTTTTATTGCATGCAGTTTGATATCTTTTGATTACTTTGTACTAAAGACGTGCATGCAACCTATGTTGAAGTTGAGTGAGTACTGAGTATGCTCACTATCTGCCACATTTTGCGGTACTGTAGCTAAATTTATGATGGGTACTTATGGAAGAATTTGAAGGGGGAAAAGGGCTAAATTACGCAAAAATCCTCTAAAACTTTGTCATATGTAGATAATTTTCATGCTATTAGTTTTGGTTATTATTTATTTGCAAATGGTTTAAAGTTTAGGGGTTCATGTGCATATAATTCTAAGTAGGGGGCTTATATATGAATAAACAGAATAAAGTTTAAGGGGTATAAAATTGATTACTTTAAAGTTATGTGTAGACTTGAAAGATTAGGGGTTTGTTATTAGATTTCAAAGGTTAAAGATGTTATTTTACATATTCAATTAATCCTATATTGTGAAAGGATTAATAAGTAAATAGGGAAAGGGAAATACCTATCGAAGTAGACAGCTTAGCTTGTAATTAAGAATTTGACTTCCCCTTGTATTGCAGAATAACGCAAAGTATACTGTATACTTTAAAATCCTAGTTGTGTGACTACTCACTAAATTTAGTCTAAAATTGATTATAAAATTTGTATTAACTGATTTTGCTTTGTTAATTTTGACTCATAGGTCCTGGTCTTTGCTGCAACGGATACTTCAGCTGTAACTTTAGAATGGGCAATGTCAAGTTTATTAAACAATCCTAATGTGTTGGAGAAAGCAAAAATAGAAATAGACACGCATATAGGGCAAGAAAGATTAATAGATGAGCGAGACATCTCAAAACTTCCGTGCCTACGAAGCATCGTCTCTGAAACACTTCGATTACATACTGCAGCACCATTGTTGAATTCACATGAGGCTTCGAATGATTGCACCATTGCAGGATACAATGTTCCGCGTGGAACTATTGTGTTAATCAATGCCTGGGCAATCCATAGAGATCCCCAAGTGTGGAGTGATCCCACAAATTTTAAGCCAGAAAGATTTGAGAAAGAAGGAGAAGCAAACAATATCCAGATTGATATAACAATCTTAAGAATGCATATATCAATCATAATTCACATAATTAAACATACATGTAAATGTCCCAGAAGAAAATTAAAGATCCTGTCTATAGACTTCATGGAGCACCCAAAGTAAGATTTACAAATACATATACACGAGTTTAAAGTCCCCCCCTTTACATTAAGTTTAGGAATCTTGCAAAAGGACACTTCATCTGCAGGCAAGCAACACAATCTGTAACATCCTTATTTTTATCTATTTAATTAAATTTATAAATAAATATATTTTAGTATTAAGTTAATTAAAAAAAAGTTAGATATAGGCAAAGTATTATCATTATTATTTTAATAATGTTTTTGTGGGTAATTGTGTGTGTGGATGATATTATAGGAAATTATACCATGGTATAGAAGTCCCACATCAACTAATCCTTAGAGTGAAGGAGTTTGAGGAGCCTATATATAGGAGCTAGTGAGTGGAGCTTAGAGTGAGTAAATAATTTTCGCACATATCTGAGGTAGTCTCAGAAAAGTGCTAGTTTTGATTTTATTAACTGTTGGATCGGACTGAAATTTGGTCAGCCCATTTGGGACATCCAAATCGTTAATTTCAATGGTTAGATCATTATTTTGATCTCCAAGTTACAAGTTATTAGGTACGTTTTTAACTTATATTTTTTGGATTTAGCAGATAGAGTCCTGAATAGTAAATTAGCATTTTAAAGTTTATTCACCGTTAGATTGAGCTATAATTTGGAGGATAGTATCATGATAGATAGGAAATTAAATTCAACGGTTATATTACGGGTTTAACTTCTGTAGTGAGAATAACTTGGTTCGTACTAAGTCTATTTGTCTAAGTCTTTCGAAGATGGAATATAAGTTATAAATTTATAGTTTGTCTATTTACATTATGAATTTGATGATTCTAATAATATAATCTAATAATTAAAGGATATTTAAGTAAGAAAAATTTAAGAATCGAGTCTAAATCATATATATGTGTTCTCATTCCCAACCTTAGAGAAATGTCTTTTAGGCTAGAGTTCTGAGTAAAATTAAAGCTTTTAGAGAAAGAGTTAGAGGCTAGAATTTTGTGAGTAGCCTACTCTAATACTATAGAGATAATATTTTAATTTTGTTTGTAGATACAAACTCTATTTTGGTATTTTCGAGGTTGGACTCTGGTTGTAGTTGACTGATAGCTAGGAGACCAGGTAACTAAATTTCTATCTGTTGCATGCTCTAGTATGAAGTTGGTGAGAGGCTTTATAACTAATTCTATAAAAGTATATTTGTTTTGTATGAACTGTCTTGTGGGATGCTATTTTAAAAAGGATTGACATAGTTTGTATTGCAAGAAATTGGTGATCATGATTATGATGTGTTATTATGAAATTCTGTTGATTATGCATATAAATGTGTCATTTTGAACCCTGTGCATCTATTTGGGTGGGGAAAGGAGGTAATTGGAGTTATGAAGATTATATACTTGCCACGTGGTATTAGCCTCCATATGGAGCTCTATGGTTGGCTGCTATTATTGTCCCACTAGTTCTTTGAGGGACTGCGACACCCTACTAGTTCTTCGAGGGGGGACCCATGGTCCACCGAGTGCTCTGTGGTCTTTGGCCGGTCCACATCATTCGTGTGGTGAGCTCGTCAGAGTTGCCAGTCAAATGGAAAGAACTTAGCCCATGGGTCCAGTCAAAGGAAATAAGGAGAATATAAGGATGGATTTGGGTTCAGGAATTGCATATGACATGGGATATTCATTGATATTTATATCTTTTAAATAAATGACAAGTATGTTATCTCTTTTGAAATGTATCAATTGCATGAGATTGGTAGAAATATTTGCCTTGTATGATTATTGTGAGTTTAAATGTTAAATAAATATTTATCAACTATTATTAACTCTGTGTATCCCACCTGACACCTCGCTAGCTCATGTTAGGGTGTGTGATAGGTAGGGATTTAGTTACTGAGACGTTGTCTCATTCTTGTTGCTTTACCATTTTCAGGAAACAATACGTTAGCGGGACCTTCGGGGAAGACTCCTGAGGCTCAATAGTTGTAGCTAACAGTGTAGAGCTTCTGGACCTTATTTTATGCAATCTTTTCGTATATTGCCACGCATTAGGATTGCATTCATTTGGGACTTATTTACCTTCTCATATTTTTATGTCATTTGACTTAGTGAACATGTTATACCTTTTATCTTTGGTTTATTTTGTCTGAACATTAGACTAGAGTGCTGATAGTGGGCCCGAGGCCCTTAGATTGCATGTGATTGAATTATTGTGGATCCACGATGTGACAATGGTAATTTTTGCAAGTTTAGTTGTTGCTAGTATTGATTAAGATAGTCAAGTCTAAACTACTAATATAATTTATCATTCAAAGGCGTATTGTTTTATAACCATGTTTGCCATGATTACAAATATAGGTTATTCTTTTTCTAACCATGATAGCCTTAATTAAGGTCGAATGCTTTTCTATCATGGTTAGCCCCTTAATGATGTGATTGCTCTTAAATAACTATGATAGGGTATGTTTACTAGTTTTAGTCCTTTCTATCATGGTTAGTTCTGGTTAGTAAGTGGTGAAGGTTACACAATCCTTCAGTGATGCACTAACTGAGACCAAAATATTTTATTTCAATAAATAACATCCCATTTATAAAATATAATAAAACAAATGATGAAAGCAAAACATTATGCATATACAATTATGTAAAATAAATAATTTATTAATGCTTTAATTTCTAAAAGAAATCATTAAAATGTAAAAATATATGTAATGCTTTTAATACACAAAATTAACTAAACAACTTATTTATGAAATCAAATAATAAAATAGTGCAAAAATCCCCTTTGGAGTGAGGAGTTCAACAGAACGAGCAACAAGTGTAGACACATAATCCACGAGGGCAAGTAACCAACAAGCGCGGCTAAAGCCATGAATACAACTGTGGGAATGATGCCTATGATCAAGCGAGCTCAAAATTACCATGACGCACCATACAAGCGCAGCCGAAGCCACGAATAATAAGCGTAGCTGAGGCCACAAATACAAGCACAGCCGATGCCACGAATACAAGCGCAGCCGAAGCCACGAATAAGAAGCGCAGTCGATGTCACGAATAACAAGCATAGCTGAAGCCACGAACAACAAGCAAGCTCAATATTAAACAAGGCATGCCAAGGACTAACAGCACTGCTATTAGCAACCAGCGTTTTGTGTGCAATCCTCGCAAAAACATGTACAAGCATGCTTGGGATCAATTTACCATAACAAAAACAGAAAATATCTTTTTCTTTTGATAATGAAATCTCAAAAAAATATTCTATAACAAATTATCCCAGCATGAAAGTTTTTAAATAACATTTTCAAATAATATATAAACCATATCTGCCTGAAAGTTTACAAAAAATATCTAAAAAGCTTTTTTTGTCAATTCTGAGTTACTCGATGGAACAATTGAAGCAAAATAATTAAGAATAAATGAAGTATTCAATAAAATGATATTAGAAAACTTAGTAGTTTAATTAATTAAAATATAATCTACCATGGAAATATTATTGTAAAAATTATTATGGGATGCTATTCACTCACGTGTTGCACTCCAAAAGTAAAGTATAACTTACTTTTATTTATTTCTGCAATATGATCAAATCTCGATACCCTCAAGCCCCGAACACAAAAATATCGATGTTCCAATTTATAATTTATATAAAATTCCCATAATATGTCATTTAATAAGATTATCCATTTTTTATGTTGCATCCTATCCGTACCTCAGTTTATCTCAAAGCAAAAACCGTTCTTATTTCTTCCCATATTATACAACTAAATTCTTCTACAAAAAGTGTGTCCATTAACTGATGCTCATAACCTTATAATCAATATTTTATTGTTCTAACTTGAACTTATATCCTCTAAATTGTTTATCAATAATCTCAAACAATTTCAGCAACCACCACTATCTCTTAGGTATCTAAACGGTGGAATGACATTAACAACTAGCAAACTTAGCATTTAAATTACAATTTAATTTCCTTCCTAATAGTAACATACAACTCCATAACCTCTAGAATTTTCTATACAGAGGAGCAAATAACTCTTGTTTCCTTCAAGCATCCCATGGAAACCAAAGTATAAATCATAATTAATTCAAAATAGTATCTAACTTACCCTCCACTATCAAAATAGTGTGCAATCACATGTCTAAATGAATCCTCTTCCTTTAAAGCAATTTAGCTACTTAGACAAGAACGAACAACATATTCCTCTCATTGGTTTCAAGGCGCTTTAAAAATTCAATTAAACTCAGTCGAATTTCTAAGAAACAATCTCTTCATAAAATTTTCTTTTCCAAGCTCCTTATCGAGATTGAGCAGCTCTGACAAGAGAAATTAATTCAATGATGCCTTCATCAAACTTGTCTCCATGGATCAAATATTTATCGATCACACATTTCATCAAATATCTTACGTGCATCCAAAATCAACTAATGAACAAACACCATAATACAAAAACTAGTGACCGCACACTTCCATTGATGAACATAATAATCTCCTAGTGTTTCCTAAATTCCTCTTCGTACCTTTCATTTTAATCCATAATATACACACACACACACACACAACGTCTATGCATCTCCAAGTTCCGAATAAGGATTGAACAACTTTAATTTGGCATTTAAGCCCATAATACATTGAACATCTTTAACTGCCCCATTCCAACAAAATTCCTCTTTTATACATTTTAACAAACACTTTGTGTTCATGTTCGCCGATAAGCTAAACTACAAGCGGACAAGTCACAAGTAATATAAAAAGTATCGTTCCCTCAAAGACTAAGGCTAAATGAGTTAAAAATCATAATTGTGCTCTGGATTACATTAAGTGAATCAAAAGTTATAAAAGAGTATGTGAGATGAAATTTGGAAAACAATGATTTAAAACAATATAAAATCAACTTGACTTTGGAATGAATAAGGGACTAGGGTTATTTTTTACTAAAATACTTCATAAAACTGGATTAACCACTTCTCAAGTAGTAATTAACAATAAGTTCAGTTAGCTAGGGTTCACAAAATTGATTAATCTTTCTCAAGTGAAAACCAGATATTTGCAATCACAATTAAACAAAGCAATCTCTTGCATTTGTTTGAAAAGGTTGCACTTTGAAAACCAAAACCCATTTTAGTCTATGCTAGGTTAACAGATACATCTCTGTTCTATCAACAAACCGTCTATTTACTCAATTAAATTTCCAAACTAACACGTTTTTACCAAAGTTCACAGATTAATTTAACTTTCTCAAGTTTAAAATAATCCAACAATCAATTCAAATGATGGCCAGACACAAGGAAGCATTAAGCTCAAGGAAAAAACAACTGAACATTATCATTAACACTAAAGAAATAGTTAAACCAAGTTTTAATCCATACAATAGATCAAAATAACCCTAGAAAACTGATTTAGCTATACATGTTTAGTAAAGAGCTACAACTATGAGAATAGCTAGTAGTCATCACAGAAACAAGAAGGGAAGAAGAACAAGAACCCAGAAAAATCGAGTAAAAAGCTTCGAATCACTTCTAGCTTCGAGCCCAAAGGCCCCAAGCCTCCAAAGCTCCAAACCCTAGCAGAGAAAGCTTCCAAAATCGCCCCAAAGTCAAAGTGTCCCTAGAAAAATTGAGTCCCCTAAAGTATATGCCTTAATTTTTTAAGTTACAGCTCAAAACGCACAGCTGCGAGGGATCAAACATTGCGGCGGATGATAGGATCAGGCGTCGCAGTGGATTACACAGAATGCATTTCCTTTGAATAGCTTTAGTGCCGTGACGCATGTGAGAATAGGCCGCAGTGGATTACACCGAGTAGGCACTTCTCTGGGATAGCTTGAGCACTGCGGCGGATATGGTCAGGAGCCACAGCGCCTATTACAGAACTACATTCCTTCCTTTCTGTTAAAGCCACTGTGGTGTTTGTCTCCATGCGTTGCGGTGGTTGGTCCTTTCTCAACCTCTCTGCTTCTGGTCTCTTCCTTGCTCGCTTTAGGCTTTTTCCTGTAAAATTGACTTCAAGAACATGTAAAAGAGTGGTAAAACAAGTTGAATAAGTAGGAATTTTGAGAGGTTATCACACCGCCAAACTTAGACTTTTGCTCGTCCTCAAGTAAAACAACAAACCAACAACTGAGTAACAAATTGCATATTAAAGATTGTAGGAATAGTTATATCCTCATCAAATGCTCAAGAAAATATACAGGATAGAAAATTACTGAATCACCCAAAGAAACAAGTTTTATGAGCTTAAAACAAACTTCCAATGATTTTGGAGTGTCAGTGTGTGTATAGAGTTAAAGAACATCTCTAATGACAATGTCCCAGCAGAATGTGAAACTTTAGCCAACATACTAAACTTCAACCACATACTTTCATAACCCTAACTCCTTCTCCCTCTATGCCTACAACTCAGCCCACATAAATTTGAAATCAAAGGGACTTTTTGGCTTTTAACGTGGCCAAGAGGTCATGGCTTAGGAAAGAAAGGGAGAATAGGGTATGCAAATACTTTGAGATAAACATATGCTCATAATCAGAACTCATTTCAACCACTTTCATTCCCCCAAACTTGTACCAAAATTTATTCTCTTTTCACCAAGCTTTCACGGAGTTGTACTAGTTATTTATATACCATTCTTTTTTTCTTTTTTCTTTAAAGGAAAACATTAAAAGCAATAACTCACTGCTTGGTTTCTAACACTTTGAATTTTCAAAATATTTCCATTTTCCTTGCCAACCTTTCACAATTTCAGCATCTCATGACACTCCTTATCTTTCCCACTTCCATTTATCTCAAAGCTAGGGATTTCATTATTTTTCTTAATTGGTTTTGGGTTAGGAAGAGGTTAGGGTTTGAAACAAAATGTAAATATATGTAATTATATATATATTTAAAGGCTCAAAATATGGGTTCAAAGGATAAGATCTTTAAGGTCAGCTTAAAAGGCTCAAACGCATTTAAGAATTGCCCTAATCATTTTTCAAATTCATATAGA